TTTTGTTTTTTATTTGTTAATGTGTTTTTGAATTGTAAATGTGTTTTGCACTTCTCAGCCACCGTACAAATCCCATAAAATGTCATCTTGGTATTTTTTCTTTTTTCTCCCAAAATGTTTAAAAATTCTGCAACTAGACTTTTGACTGGATCTCAGAAACGAGTGTATAACTCAAGGATCAGTTTCTCTGCATTGGTTACTAGATGGTTATCGGATTGATTTTAAGTCTTATTGGTTTTTAAAACTTTACATAGCCTTGCTTCTGTTTATCTTCAAGACCTTCTTTATGAACATTCCAGTACTAGAACACTTCAGTCAAATAATAAATTGCTCTTCACATTCCTTGGACCAGACTGACAGTGAATAGGAGCAGCATTCGCTGTCACTACTCCTAATTTTTTGAACAACCTACCTTTAAAAATTAGATTAGGGCTGAATGATTTTCGAAAATTATCTAATCACAATTTTTAAAAATCTTAATATTGCTATTGCCATTTAATAGGATTGTTTTTTTTTTCCAGTGTAATCAAGATTGGGTTTTGATTTTAAGTTTTCTCTTCATTAACTACAAGCGACAAATATTGCTTCTCGATAAAGATGTTTGTAAACAACAAATTGACGTGATTAGGTTTTTGTTTTATTTTGCTTAGGAAAGGTATCCAGTTCAGGCGAATGTAGTGCAGGAACAGTCGCTGTCTCAGCAAGCACAGACATCTTTGTCAGCCCAGTCACCACTGGCCCCAACATCTCCTCAATGGCTGTCGACCATGCCTAACTCCTTAGAAACATCAACTTCATTCTCCTCCCAGTCGCCTGTGTTCCACCCCTCCACTCAAGTACAACCAGATTTGCTGTCTTCAGAAGTTTCTTTGGTTGCAACCTCAAGGCTGCCCCTCTCCCCCCACTCTACCCTGACTCCACAGGTGATTACCATTGAGGACCAGGCACCAACTTCTCCATTAACTGAGCAAACTATAATTCTACTGGAAGACGAAGAGCCACCTGATTCTCAACATCCACCAGAGTTGCCTTTGGATGAGTGAGTCAAAACTGCATATTCTAGCAGTGTCTTGTGTAATCAATTTTGACAGTTGCAAACCATTGTTTACTCTAACAATACATAATAAGATATATCTTCTTTTTACAGAACAGATCTTCAGACTATATTAGCAAAACTATACAGCAAGGTTGATATGACTTCCTGTCCTACAAGCAACCAAATAAATGTGTGCAGGGACAGGATTTTAGAATGTAGCCTGCATGCCTTCAGAAGACGCCGTTTTGATCCAGCAGCAAAACTGGATGTTGTTTTTGTGGATGAAGAGGACACCGCTGAAGGGGCAGTTGATGAAGGTGGTCCCACACGAGAATATCTACGACTTTTAATGAGGGCCATTCATCAATCAAATGTCTTTGAGGGGCATGAGAATGACCGCCATCTAGCTTTGAACACAAGTGGTCAGTATTTTTTTTTTTTCCCACCCAATTGTTAAGGATAGAAAATTGTCAAGTAACTTTTTTTTTTTTTTTTTCCCCCTCCTTCAGCGCTGGAGTTAAAGATGTACAGCTGTATTGGAAAAATGATATCAGTCTGTTTGGTGCATGGAGGCATTGGACCACATTTCTTCTCTCAAAGGCTGTATGACCACATTTGTGGCACATTGTCTAAACCTACCCTGGTTGAGGAAGTTGTTAACCATTCTTTCAGACAGCAGTTGATTGAAGTTAGTATCAATTTTAAGAGTTTTGGACATTGATAAATGGCTTAAATTCAGTTTCACAACCTTTTTGATTTCTTTTTAGATTAAGGATGCAAACACAGTTGTGGAAGCAAACGAAGCCATTATGCAGGCTGCAGATACCTTGAGCATTATTGGAGCATTAAGGCGTGTAACTACTCTGGAAGAGAGGGACTCCCTCGTGCAATCTGCTGCAGACTTCTTTGTAAATGGTCGAGTGTGCGCTGGGTTGCAACAGTAAGCAAGATCCTAATTTTTCTTTTTTCTGTTAGAATTCTTCTATTATAAAAGTAAGACCTTATTCTCATTTCTTAAAGGTTTATGGAAGGTTTGAAGAGTCTGAATGTGCTGGACGAGATTCAGAAAAACCCTGCAGTCTTTCATGAATTGTTTGTCTGTGAGGAGAAACCACTCTTGGCACGGGACCTGTACACACTTTTCCAAGTGTGTTTTTCTGTGCAAGGCAGCAATAAAAGGAGGATAGAAAATCTAACCATATGCTACTGGAGAGACTGGTTGGTGGATATTGAAGGTACATTTATTGTGATATTGTAAACAAAATTGGTATCAAATACATTTTGTGACTGATTCGTCACCACTGTCCAAAAAGAAGTACCGTGTTTTCACGACCATAAGGCGCACCGTACTAAAAGGCGCAGTCTCAGTCATGTTTGCCTTTACTGTATTTAACACACATAAGGCGCACCGCACTATAGAGCGCGCCACACATTGAGGGGAAAAAAAGACGTTTATATGCGTCTTATAGTCGTGAAAATGAGGTAATCATAGTATAGATGCAGACTTTTTAAATGGCTAGTGACAGGACCAAAAACGGTAAAATTACTAGAAAAATCTTTCCTGAAATTTTTTTGTTAAGCTGCCATAGAAATAGTCTTGTACCAGTGAATATCTATTGGGTAATCTGTTGCATAAATGCATACTTTTACTTACTATTTACTATGATCATACTTGGTCATGATTTGTCTTCAAAATGTTTTTTATATTTACGAACAATACATGCATTGTCATCACCAATTTAACAAGTTGGAGGAGGAACGAACAAAGGATTTTAACACATTTTCTTCCATGTCGTTAAGAGTACACACTGGAAACCTTATAACAAAGGTCATAATTTCAACATTTTGTGTTTCAGAAGGAGAATGCAGTCCCATGACTCTTGAAATGCTTCTGGAGTTTGCTTCTGGAGCATCCAAGGTACCTCCACTGGGCTTTCCCCATCGTCCACAAATTGAATTCCTCCATGAGGCTAACAAAGTCTTCCCAGAAGCAAATACTTGCCTTATAGTACTCCGGCTTCCTGTACACTCGGACTATGAGTCTTTCACAAAGTACATGACCGACGGGGTGCTGCAGGCACCTACCTTTGGTGTTGCATAATCAGCTAATAAGCAGTTATTTTAAGAAAAGAAAAAAAAAAAGTTGAAATGTTTTCAAAAGTTAATTGTTTTAAAGCAAGTTACAGTATTATTGTACAGTTAATGTAATGGCCAAACTTGGAAAACATTGAAATGTAAATTCAATAATTGCACTTATTATTTTTCTTATTTTTGCAAATAGATCTCTTATTAATCACTTTATGGTTTCACAATTTAAAGGTGGATGTTTGAGCCACACTGCAAAAAAAAATGTCTCAGGGTTTTTGAGTATATGAGTTTTATTTGTAGTTATTGCATCTTAATAACAATGCATCATTCAGTATGTTCTAGATGATTTTCACTCAAACATGGTGACATGTACTTAAATCAATAAAGCATTTGCAATTTCTGCACAACAAGCCTGGTATTTCTCCTTCAGATCTGAAATATGATTGACTGCAAGATTAACAGCTTGAAGTTGCTGCTGACTGAGCCTGGTTTGGGGTGGTTCTACAACTACACTAGGAAGCTCTTCAGCATCAGTGGTTCTTAGCGGCCCAAGGCCATGCTGTTGCAGAAGTTCTTCAAGAGTCTCTGGTGTGTTGGAATTTTCACCAAACACGTTGTTTGTTGCTGTGCTGTTGGCACCCATGTTTGCCAACATACGTTCAGTCCAGATTTGTGTTGGTGTTTTATTGTTTTCTGTACGCAAGGAATGGTGATTCCATGCGTTTCTAAATTGTTCTAGTCGGCTTTGAATCTCAGGAAGAAAAACTGTATGAAGGGAAAGTTTGTGCACATCGTTGCTAGGATCCAAGAGGGCTGAATCTTCAAGATTATAAAACGTACTATAAAATGGTTCCAGAACATGTAAAAAAACATCCCTCCAAAGACGCTCAATTCTCTGATTATGGATGGATTCCCCAGTTATATGACTCCGACGTTCAATGCCCTGAAGGAGGTTCATCACCAGTGCAACTTGCATGTTCTCGCCACCATGATCTGACCTCACTCTAGAAGGTAAGCCATAGAGGCCTGTTGCCTTGAGAAAATGAAATAGCACTGTTGAGGCGCAATTGTCTGTGCTGCAGTTTAAGTAAGTAATTAGGCGAGAACATCCATCGATGCCACCATGGACCACAAAGCCCCACCTAAATGGAAATACAAAAAATGTATAAGGAATAATGTATGCAAATGTGTATATTGAATTTAGTTCTAAGACATCGACTCTGAAATACTTCTATGATATTTTCAGATACCTTATGAGACGCATGTTGCCATCAATATGCCATAAACTGTTGGGATACGGCACGTGACAGACACGTCGAGACACTGCACTGCTCCACCTCCTTGCAGTAGCCATTGGGTTGATTCGAGCCATCATGTCTCTGACCTTACGCCGTGGAACCAGTAGTCCTTGTGCATGCAACAAGCCTCGCATCATCTGGTTCAAGGAAGGATGTGGTCTTACAATTTTGAACCACCTCACAATTTAACATTTTGAAAGTAATCTTTTAAAAATAGGTTTCAGATTTCACATGTGGTCATAAGATAAATGATTGTCTTATTATTTGTGACACTTGACATTAAATAATATAATTAGTATCCTGCAATACCACTGTTGAACATATTGTTCAGAAACCATATATTTAGATTCCATACCTCAGTCCCAGAATTTGGGTACAGGGATTGAAGTTGTCTGATGTTAGTTTCAAGGTCTTCATCAGTCACTGCAGCTAACCTTCCCCTGATTGGTACACCGAGTGCCTTGGACTTCTTATAAAGAAAAGATGTTGAGCATCCAAAGATGTTTGCCATCGTCTTGACCGTGTGTCCTTGGGCCAAAAGAAAGTCGATCTGCTCTCTTGTAATATGAATAGCTGGTCTACCTCGACCACCTAAAACAGAATCATATTCAAATGTATCAGAATAATGTTTACTTTTACATCTGTTTTTCTCTATATCTGTATATCCTCTAGAGGTGTCCCTGTTTCTTCTAAGGGTGACACTGCATTTCACACAATGTATACATTTATTTCTATATACATATTTTTCTATTGCAATTGCATAAACACAAAGCTTTAAACCTTTACAGCAACAAAGTGTGAATCATACATCTAATGGACATAAAAGGTGATATTCTAGAATACACAGAATTTAAAAGAAAATGTAATTTATTTTGCCCACAAAGACTATATCTTTGATCAAGGCTATTCTGGTAACCATGATAAATTTGGTCAAAGGAATGATTCAATATTCTGATGTAGCACCGATCTTCCCCACTCTTCTGTTAGATAAATACAATTTTACGGATCTCAAATTCAGTAACAAAATGATACGAGAACATATAAATAAAAGTTTCCCTCTCCCAGTTAAGAGGAATTTATCTTTAAACGTGTTTTCAGAGATCGAAGTTACAAATGACTATCCCTGTGCAGAGCTCTTAAGTTTATGATTTAAATTTGCTGTTGGTATATGTAGCTTTTGTTACAAAGACTTAGAAACACAAGAACATCTTTTTTACAGTTGTGTGGTTTGGATGAGTGAGTCAAAACTGTGAGGTTTTTGGGAAAAGATTCATGATTGGTTATCACCAAAAAATTTGATTCCTAAATAAAAAGACAGAAATTTGGAATTTTAATGTAATGTTGTATTCATTATCAGAAAAAGATTTATTCACAAGTGCAGATTCTTTAAAATGTCTCCCAATTTCCAAGGAAAACGTTTTCATGACTCAATTAAGTTACTGGAAAATAAGAAATCCTTCAGGTTTTCAGATTTTATAGCAGTATACTTTAGCTAAACCCCTGTGTTACTTGTTGTATTTTGTTTTTCTATTTCTATTTTTTCCTTCTGATTCTTTTTAATTGTCTGTTTAAGTTTATATTGTTGTTTTTATCTTTTAAAAGCCGTTATGGATTGCATCTGTTCAATTGTACTTTTCTGCTGTTTGAAATAGTATTTTGAATTTGTTTAAATAAAAGTAAAATTTAAAAAAATGTAAGTGTGAATCAGACATGAAGCGGAGGTGCGCTTTTATTTTCAGAGGAGCTCAAGGAGGGTGCTGTAATGCCTTGTGCCGTCTAGCATGTTAAAATCAAGAGCTAGCTGGCTTTACTATAATTTCCGAAGAGGCAGATTTACTATGGCAAGCCGAATTTATGTTAAAATGGCTTGCCATAGTCAAACCGACTTTATGTTAAAACGGCTTGCCATTGCTATACCACAGTATTAAAAACTGCATCTGGTTATTACCTGAACCGGCCCGGGCTGCGGAATATTCATTGTTTCCAGATCGGACATGGGTCGATATTAGCACTTTCAGCTCATCTAAGCCGTTTTTAAGTGCGTTGTGTGTGTCGGCAGAAAGTTGATCAGAAATTCTTTCCAAATT